GGGGGGGGGCAGAGAAGGGCTCAAGGAGGGACCCTGTGTAGCCTGCAAAGAGTTCGCATCCTCAGGGCGGGGCAGCCCCACCCTCACCAGCAGCAGGAGCAGCGGCCATGGAGTCCCCGGGGCGTCTCTGGAGGGACTCCAGGTTCCCCACCACTGCTTCGGTGGGGGGGGCACAGCCCCGGTGTGTGGGGGGGTGGCAAGGCTGATTGCTCCACAACACAGGACGGTGCCCTCCCCACCCGTGAGGTGTCCTGTGTGGGCAGGCTTTGCCTGGGAATCTGGGCACTTGACCCATGGTGGCCCAGAGCAGGGAGCCGGTCCGAGGGCACTGGGTGAGGGCCTGGTGGGGGCAGATCCCCCGCCCTCCTGTCACTGGGGCTCCCCCTCCCCCTTTTCCCCCCTCCCATCCAGACAAGCCCCCCCCACACACACTTGCGTTGGCTGCTCGGATGATGAGCGAAATCCAGCAGCCAACGCCACACCTGCCCCTTCCTTCCTTCCGAAGCGAGGAGCGATTGAGCGCGGCTTTCCCGGCCCAGCTGAGCCCCAGAGGAGAGGAAATGCCTGCCAGCCAGCGGAGTGGGAGGCAGCAGCAGCGGTGACAGCGGTGGCGGCTTCAAAGGAAGGCGGAGGAGCCCCCACCGGTGGCCTTGGCTTCTTCCTCTGCCTTTGTTTGAAGTGGGGGAGAGCAGCTTTCAAGCGGGGGGGGCTTCCTCTTTGGGGAGGCAGGTGGGGAGGGGGAGGGAGGAGAGGGGGGTCCCTGCTGCCCCAGAAGCAACCAGGAAGCCTGGCTGGGTCCCTTGCCTCCATGTGGGGCTCAGAAGCATGGGACGCATTGTGTGTGCGCAGGCAAACTCTTCCGTGGCTGCCCTGGGCCGAGCGGGCACAGAGGTGAGGCCAGGGAGCCTGGCCTGGGCTGTGAGGAGGGTCTCTGGCTGTGCAGAAGCCTCCAGTTGGCCAAGGGCGGCTCCCCCCCCTCGTGGCCAGAGAAGCCGAGGGTCTTGTCTCTCTGCTGCCAGTCCTGTCCTGGCGCCATCTCCCCCTGGCCAGCTCTGGAGGGGACATGGGGGGGGGCTTGGCAGGAGGCTGGCTGGGGGCAAAGGGGAGGCCGTGGGGCCCGGCTGAAGCAGCGCAGGGTGCCAGAAGGACACCAGCGCCCCTGAAGTTGCACCTGGAGGAGCCTCCCCTCCTGCACCCTGACCCTGAGGCCTGGTGGAACCTGGTTTGGCTTGTGAGGGTCAGACCAGGTGCTGCCGACTCCCAACTGCCCCCCCGGGTGAGAGCAGCCCCTTTGGAGGTCCCGGGGGGTGGGGGCTTGGCAGAAAAGCCTTTGCTCTCAGCCTTGCACCCGGAACAGATCAGGGCGCCCAGCAGGAGCCCCTCCAGCGGCAGGAAGCGGAGAAGCCGGGCCGGAGTTGCAGGTTCAGCTGGGGGGGGGGGCACCTCCTGAGCGATTGGTGCTGACGGTGGGGAGGGGGAGCTTCCCCTGGAGTTCCTGCTGACAAAGCAGCCATTAGGGGGAGGGTCTCGGCCACGCGGGGTTAAGAGCCGCCTCCCTTGCAGAGGGTTCACTGCCACGCCAGGGCAGCCACGCCGGCAGGTACGGAGGCGCCTGCAAACCAGCCCCGAGGGTCCCACGGAACAGCTACCACCGGGGATGGAGCTCCCGGGGATTCCCACCCACCCCGCAATCCCTGGAAGAGGAGGCCTTCCGCCAGAGCGGGGCCCCTGGGCCACCTGAGGGGGCTTCCCAGAAGGCAGCTGGACCTTCTTGGTTCCTGTTTCCTTTTCCCTTGGAAACGTCGCTCGCTCCTGACTGAATGGCGGGGAAGGTTCTGGAGACCTTCCGTGGAGGAGACGCTGCTAGAGGGGGCGAAGCGCCCAGCTGCCTCTGGAAAAGCACCTCTGGGGCCACCGTGACCTGGACGACGGGAAATCCCCATAGATCTGGGCCCCCACTGAGCAAATGGGGTCCCAGGGACCAAGGGCCGGGTTACTCGGATGGCGGACAAGATCTATGTTTGACCCAAGTGAGGTAAACCAGGTCAGGGGAACTTGAAATGGGATTCTCTGAAGCTTTGAGATGCAAACCCTGCAGAACAGAACAGAAGGAACCCTAGAGCTCTTCTAGTCCAACCCCCTGCCTGGGCAGGAAACCCTCCAGGCCGCTTTAAGAGGAGAAGGATCCGGGCGTGGCTGAAACGGGGCCTCTTGTCCCGGCAAGGACCCCTGGAGCAAGAGGCTCAGGAGGTCCGTAGCCTCGTCATCGATGAGGAGCAACCAACAGCCTCATCCTTAGAATCTGCTGCTGACCCTCCGACCAAAGAGAAGACGCGGATGATGCTCTCAAAGAAACGTCGTGGATTGGAATGAGTTCGTTTCACGACTAAAGCTTGAGGCCTGGCCGACCCCTTTCTCTTTGGGAGGGGGGAAGAAGCCCCCGGAAGGCCAACAAGCCTCCAACGGGGAGCCTCCATTTAGGACGGGGAAGGAGCCCTGAGGGAAACGGATGGCGCAATACCAGAGCCCTTAATTTTAAGGGGATTTTAATACGTGTCTCAGATTTCAGAATACCGTTTTTTCAATAAATGGAGCTCTATGTCAGGAGAACTAAAGGGAAAAGAGCTCATGGATTGGTGTGGGGTTCCTTAAATAAGGAGATACTAAAAGGACAATAGCAAATAATTGCAACGAGAAATTAAAAAATGGAGCACAAAAAGGCATTGTGTCTGCACAAAAAGCTCAGAGAGGCCGAAAAGGACGTAGGCAGGCGATGGAGGCAAGGAATGATGAGTTAGCAAAGGATGCTGAGAATAACCGGAAAGGGCTTCTCGAAATGCAAGTCAGAGGAAGAAAGGAAAGTCCGGGCCTATCAGCAGCTGCTTTGCAAAGGTGGCCAGCAGGTAACGAAGGAAATGCTGACCTGCTCCTCTCCTGCCTCTGTGGCCCAACTCCCGGCTGAGCTTCTCCGGAAGAAACGGTGGGCCCACAGAGGGACGGGGATCCCCATCGACGGGGAAGGAGACCAGACCTCTTGGACCGGATAAGCAGCCGCCCCTCAGGCTGAAGGAAGAAGCAGCTGGGGGGGGGGAACCAGGAGGAGGCCCAGGAGGCCCCCATGGAATTACCTTAAAGACCGTGAATCAGTGTTAACAATGTGAGCCTCACCAAAGGGAGCGTGGCTTTGCCAGAAGCCCCCCGTGCCCCCCGTTCCCCCCCGGGGAGCCTGCCCTGATCCCTTTAGCGGGGAGCTGCCCGCACCAGGTAGCTGGAATGCCACTGGAGGTTTTTGTTTAGTTAGTTTAATTTCGTTTATTGCCATTGCACCTCGTACAACAACGAAATCAATCAAACAACACCTTCAGTGCACATCATGACCATGACCATGAAAATAAACACAAACACTCCACACACTGAACTGAAAGCTCCCGACACTGCAACAACCCTGCACTATACAGCGGAATTCAGCAGAGCTCCTGCCCTGGGATAGAAGCTGTTTTTCAGCCTATTTGTCCTTGTTTTTATTATCCTGTACCGTCTGCCGGAGGGTAGTAGTTCAAAAAAAGGGGGTGCCCAGGATGAGATGGATCTTTGAGGATGTTTTGAGCTTTCTTAAGGCAGCAGGAGCTCTAAGGCTCTTCCAAAGAGGGGAGAGGGCAACCCAGGATCCCCTGAGGGGCAATGATGTTAACCCTCTGGAGCGCTGTCCTATCTGCCCCTGTGCAATTGGCAAACCCTACAGAGGTGCAGTGAGTTAAGATGCTCTCTCTGGTGCAGCGGTAGAAGGTCACCAGCAGTTTTCCACCCAGTTGTTGTTTCCTGGGAAGCCTCAGGTAGCCCAATCTCTGCTGGGCCCTTTCGACCAGGGCTGCAATGTGAGCCCCGCCCCCCAGGTCAGGTCCTCCTTTAGGGTAACCCCCAGAAACTTAAAACTGGCCACTTGCTCCCCTCGGTCTCCGTGGATAAGCCAGGGCTCAGTTGCTCAATTGTGCCTGGCTCTCTGCGATGCCACAGACCACAACACGCCAGCCCCCCCGGTCCTCCCCCGTGTCCCCTCTGGGTCAAGGCTGCAGGCCTCACACATCCCTCTTTCAACCACAGCCACCCGACGGAATATCCCATGATTACCCTAAACCCGGTTAAGTGCCGGCTGGATAGCCTGGTGGTTGAGGGGATGCATAGCCGGCTCAAAAGCCCCAGTCAAGCAGCCCCGTCGGCCAGAGCAGGGCGGGAAGCCCTGGAGTGGCAGCTGTCCGTTCCAGCGTATCAAGCACAGCAAGGACGGTTGACCGGGGGTGGGGTAAAGGCTGGCCAGAGAGTGAGGAGGGGGCCTCAGGGTCTCTGCCCTCCGGGGATGCACAGGAACTGGAGTCACCATGACAACCGCATTCACACAACAGGCTCTCCACACGCCGGACCGACCGTAACGGCCTTGCACAACTGGCTCCCTAGCAGCCCACTGACCCAACTGCACCCCAGAAGCCGCGGAAACCTGCCGTGGGAACGGAGCCCGTAACAGACAGCGGATCACCAGAGTTGGAAGGGACCTTGCAGGTCATCTAGTCCAATCCCCCACCCAAGCGGGAGACCCTACACCATTTCTGACAAATGGCAGTCCAGTCTTCCTGGAAGCCCCCAAAATAGGTGACTGGAGAAGCCCCTGGTGTCACCTGGGCAGCCTTGCCCCCCCCCCCCCCGAGCTCCTCTGGGCAGTCCCTGGGCCTCCGCAAGGCAATCTGCACCCACCCCAGAGACAGGCAAGCGAGGCCAGCTGGACACCGCTGGTAGCCCCAGGGCCGGTCCTTCCGGGGAGGCTTCTTGCCCTCTGCCCCAAATCAAGGCGGTGCTGCTTGTCCCGAGGGCTCTCAGGCCCCTTTTTGTTCCTGGGCTGATAGAGCCCCTCTGCCCCACCCCCCCCCCCCCCCCCCACCCCCCCCCTCGCGCAGGCCCCCCCCCCCGCCCCCCCCCCCCCCCCCCGCCCCCCCCCCCAGCCAGCTCACCAGCCTCCATGGCCAAGACGGTGATGTTGTACCAGCCAGCCGTCTCTCGATCCAAGCCCTGCCTGGTCAGGATGGCTCCAGTCTCGGGGTCGATACCAAAAATCTGCTCCGTGCCCTCAGGGGGCTCAAGGGCGTACCTGGGGCCCAGAAGACAGAGCAGCCGTGAGCTGCAGCTGGCCGGGCTGGGCAGGCAGAGAGACCTGCGCTCCGCTTGAGCGGCCTGGCACGGGCACACACCCAGCAGCAGTCTGGCACAGGGTGTGCCCGGGTCCTTCCATGAGCCCAGCTCATCAGCCCCCCCACCCCCACCCCCCGCTGTGCCATGCCCTTCCTCCCCTCGGGAAGGCGCGAGTGGGGCTGCCAGGGCCATGGCCAGAAAGCTCTCCCTTCCAGGTGGCACGCAGCCCGGCCAGGCCAGGCCAGGCCAGGGAAGAGAGAGAGGCCGTTTCTGTCACCCCCTGACCCCCCCCCCGGCCACAGGTCTCCTCCCCCGACCCCCCCAACCCACGTGCACAGAAGGAGCTCAACCCAAAAGGGCAGCAACCGCTGCCCTCCCAGAGACAGGTGGGGGAGGGTCAGCCCGGGCGGTAGCAGGAGAGCAGGACAGGCAGGCAGGCTGCAATTTGGGGCCAGGGTCTCTTCTTGGCTTCATTGCTTCTGCTGAGCAAGAGCCAATGGCTGGGCTGCCAAGACTTCATCAGATGAAGGTCAGCATGGTGGGATGAGCTGCATTCCCCCCCCCTGACCCCCCCGACCAGAGCTCCAGCTGGCACTGCCGGCTCTTTCCATGCCCACCCCAGCCTGGTAGCCCCCGGCGGGCAGGGAGGCTGCGCCTGTCAGGCTCTTTGCCAAAGTGCCACTGCCATAAAGTTAATGGCCCGGAGGAAGGAGTGGCAGGGCACTCGTCAAATCTGCAGACCTGACAGCCCGGAGGGGGCACCGGGGAGAAGGGCTCCTCCAGGAGACCTTGAGCGGGAGAGACGCCAGAGGAGAGGAGGCGGGAGGCCTGGGGGGCGGCCGGCAGGAGGGCCAGAGCGCAAGGCTTGCTCTGCCCACAGCCCTGGCAATGGGACACCATGCCAGTCCAGCTCACCCTGAGGGCAGCAACCTCCTGGGAAGCCCAGCCTCTCCGTGTCCATAGCACGAGGGCTCCTGTGACCGACGGACGGACGGATGGACGGAGATCGTGAATCCCTCAGGCAGAAATCCACTGCCCTCCCACTGCCTTTCTGAAGGAGGCAGCAAAGGCCTTCCCGAACGCCCCCCCCCCCACACACACACACCCCGGAGAGGTGCGGGGCAGGTGGGCGGGCGAGGGGGCTGCCGGGGAGGGCCGGGGCAGAGGGCTCCTGAAAGCCGTGGGCCCAGGGCCGCTGGCCTGCCTGCGGGGGTCTGGCCAAAGGGCCACCATATCACCCAGGCCGGCTGCCCCCTCCCCGGCTCCCTGCAGAAGCCCCACCCACTCTCCCGCGTCCAGGCCATCAGGTCCGGCAGAAGAAGAGGCGGGGGACGGGTCCTGCCTCTTACGGAGCTCCTCGGCCAGCCCGGGGGGGGGGGGATAGGAGGGGGCCTCTCCTGCCCACCCTTGGGAACCTCCCGGCCCCGGAGGCTCAGTCGGCCCGGGCCGGTCTGCCTCCCGAGGGCTCTGCCGGGGGCTCCGGTCAGCGCTTGGAGCGCACTGGAGGGCTGGACGCAAGGTTGGCCTGCTGCGCCCGCTGATGCCGGGGGGGGGGGGGGGGGGCAAACTCAATTCCACTGAGGGCCCCGTCAGTTTTGGGTCTGGCCTTGGAGGGCCGGGGGGGCGTGGCCAGGGTGGGCGTGGCATGGTTTTATAAAGCTACAAAAACAGGGAGGCTCCATTTCTGTGGTTTCTTTCTTTTTTTTTTAAATACTTACTTGATCCCCTTATGGGAGGGAGAGACCAGATCTAGAAAGTGACTCCGGAGGAAGACCAGAGAGCTACAACGTGGTCTCCACAGGCTGCAGGAGCAGAATCCTGCGAGCCTGAAAGGCAAAATATTTCACGTTTCCTCCCTTTTAGAACTTCGGAGGCCAAAGGGGGGGGGGGGGTTGCCCCCCCCCCGCCCCCCCCCCGTCTGGCTGGCAGAGGCTCCAGGGCGGATCCTTTGCTCCTTCCAGACCAGCCCCGCAGGCCAGATCTAAGCACCCGCAGTTGGCCCTCGAGGTTGACCCCCCTGCATTGTGCTTTCAATTCGGCTTTAATCTGGTTTTAAAGGGGGTGTTGTTTTTTACTGATATTTGTGCAGGTTTCTTGGCCTCGTTGCTTGCTTGGCTGCTTAATGACATGAGCTGCCCAGAGCCACAACAGATAAATGACTATATAAATACCGAATGTCACCACTCTGGACAATCCCCACTGGGCTTCCCAGAAGCAAATGCTGAGCACATTCCTGCTCTGCCCTTGGCTGGCATTCTGCCCTCCTGTGCCACCCCCCCACCCCCCACAGCAAATGCCAGGCCGGCATCAGCCTCGAAAGCGAAGGCGCCTCTTCTTTTCCCAGTTGCTTCCTGAAATGGCTTTTTAACCAGCCTGTTGACTTTCCACTCCGCCAGACCCTTCCCGACCTGCCGTAAATATTTCAGGCGCCCTTTTGTCATTCGGAGCCTGAATAAGTGCCAAGAGGCCTCCCCGCCTTATCTCCAGACAGGGAGGGAAAGGTTTGTGAGCCAACCTGAGGTGGCACAAAAATCGAATGAAGGAATGGATAAATAAATAAATAAATAAATAAATAAATAAATAAATAAATAAATAAAATGTGACAACCCTTGGCCATCTTTGTGGGAGGTGGGGCTGGGCTCCTTGATTTTGCTGAGCTTAGAAACCCCCACACACACACCCCCAGCACACCCTCCCTACTCTGGGCTCAGAGCTGCCGGCTGGCCCCTTGTGCTGGCCAGAGGTGGCTGTCAGTGGGACTGGCCGTGGGAGTCGGAGGCCCCCTGACCTGGGAAGAGGGGCAAGATTCAGATAACACAGGAGACCTTCCAGGCGACAGGAGACCTGGCTTCTCTGGCCGGCCGGCCTCGCAAGGCGGGTGCCAGGGGTGCCTCTTTTCAGCCTATTCACACCATTGTGTGTCCCCCGCACCAGTCCTGCCCCTTCAGGAGCCCCCATCCTGAGGGTCTGGATGGCCACGGACGCCACCCCACACCGGGCATGGTCCCTTGCGGCCGCTGCGCACACTGTGGAGAGGATCCCCCCTCCTGTCCACACTTCCCGCCTTGTCAACAGGGGAGGGGCTTCCCAGCATCTGCTGTCCCCTCTCAAGACCACCCTCCGGGGGCTTCTCTGATGTGGGGCTTCCCGGGGTTGGGGTCTCTGGGTGTCTGGGGGGGGGGGGCTGCTGGCTGAACCCATCGGAAACCTCCACACAGCTTCCCCCTTTGTTTGGCCTCACTTGACGCACAAGGCCACACCCGGCGTAGGGAGCCTGGACCCCTCCCCCATCCACCCTGGACTGTGACCGAGTGGCCCATTTCCCTCTATGGCCCTTTCGGGGGGGGGGGGGAACTGGACCAAGCGGAGGAGCCAGGCCAGCCCTTCTCCGGAGGGTAGGCTGCCCTGGGGCTTCTGCCGGCTGGCCTGGGGAACCCAGAGCGGGGCGGAGCCCATTAAACGGCTGAATGGGTGTTGGGGGGCTTATTATTTTATGATCGTTCCTTTTGATGATGATTCTTGTTCTTTCTTTTGCATTGGGCCTTGAGGTCCTTGGGAGTCGCCCCCTGCGACTGGGGGGAGGGGGGGCACGTATATGCTTTCTTCTAAATACATACATGGAAATGGGGGGGGCAGCTCTGCTCCGTCTGTCCAAGCCCTTCCCCAGACCCGTGTCCGGCACAGGGGCCGGCCCTCTTCACTCCCCCAGCCCTCCCCCGGGGGCAGGAAATGACGGGACTTACCGGACGGGTCTGCTGGCCGCATCGGGGTCCACCGCGGAGACCACCCCCACCAGGGAGCCCACCAGCGCATCCTCCTGCACTTCCAGGGGGCCGCCGGGAGGCCGGAACTCAGGGGGCTCGTCCGCGTCAAGCACAGAGACCAGCACCAGGGTCTGGTCCCGGAAGGTGTCCAGGCCCATAAAGCGGGGCTCCGCAAACTTATTCAGGGCCTCCAGGACCACAGTGTGCACCGCCTGGGCCTCGAAGTCCAGAGGCTGAAAGGAGGAGGGAGGGGGGTCACTCTGCCCTCCTATCGCCTCAACCCCCCACCCCCTGGCATTGGGAAGGGGCCCCACGCGGGGCGGGGGGTGTCTGTCTCTCCCATAGGCCCCTCCCCAGAGGGTTCACGCACCATGGCTGTGGGGACAGGTGCTCCTACCTCCCTGGGGGTGGGGGGGTGAGGCTTCCGGTCCCGAGTTCGGGGCTCACCTGCTGCAGGGAGATCAGGGCTTCCTGGGTGTTGCTGTCGGTGGCCACCAGGAAGGGCCCCAGGGCCCCCTCCTCCTTCATCTGGTAGGCCATGTCTGTGTTCTCCCCGACGTCGGCGTCCTCCGCCCTCACTCGCCCGACCAGCGTGCCCACCGGTGCCGTTTCCACCATGCTGAACTGGTACATCTCTGGGGGGGGGGCAGGGGGGGCAAGAGAACAGAAGAGCTGAACCCTGATGAAGGGGGAGGGGGCTCCTGCCTGTCTTGCTCCTTCGTGGCAGGAGATCAGGGCCTGCAGAGACCGCCCCCCCGGCCACCATTCAAGACTCCCCAGGACCCCCCCCTCGAGCTGCGCAGGGGTGCAGGTGACCAGGTGCTGTGGCCGGGGGGGTCCTGGGCAGCAGCGGCCCCCCCTCCCCCCCCTCCCCCGGAGCGCAGCTCTGCCGTGGTCACCCCCCTCCCCCGGCTGAAGCCTTACTCTGGGGGAAGCGAGGGGGGTTGTCGTTGACGTCAGTGATGACGATGGTGACGGTCGTGGAGCCTGAGAGGCCCCCCAGCTGCCCCGCCATATCCGTGGCCCGGACCACCACCTCATAGCGGTCCTGGGTCTCCCGGTCCAGGTTGGCCACAGCCGTCCGGATCACACCTGCAGGAGGCCAACAGGTCTGTGAGGGGAGGGCGCCCCCCAATTGCGGGCCCCCTTTCTGGCTGCCCCCTCCCTTCCCAGAAATCCCACCTGGCGCACAAGAGCTCCGTACAGCCACGGGGGGAGGGGGAGCGCGGAGCCTCCCTCAGAAGGGTGGGGGTGGGGGAGGGGCATGAGCCCAAGGGGTGGGGGGGCTTCCTGGAGGCCCCTTTCCTGGCCATCGTCTGCTTGGGGTCCCTGCAGGGCCCCCTCAGCTGCCCAGAGCTCTGCCCGTGAGGAGGGCCAACCTGGCGGTCTCCTTTGGAGGGGGCCCGGAGCCAGGCGGGAGGCGAGGGGAGCCCACTCCTCTCCTCTGAACGGCCACAGCAGGAATTAGGGAGGAAAGGAAGGGAAGGGAAAAAGCAGGAAAGGGGGGGGGGTCAGCCACTGGGGCCCTGCACCCCCAACTGGGCGGGGTTCCTTTGGGGGCTGCTGCCCTGCGCAAATGGTGCGGGAGTAAAGGGAGGGGCTGATGAGTGCGGGGTCTTGGGAGGCGAGTCTGTTCTTGCAGCCCACCAACCGGCGGGACCCCTTTAACCGGGGGGGGGGCTCACCACCTCCGTCCAAGAGGGAGGGAGGGTCTCACCAGCGGCAGCAAAACATTTGCCTTGATCTTGCAACGGGGAACCAAATCAAGGCAGGAAAATGCCCCCCCCCCCCCCCCCCGGGACCAGAGATTTGGGGTTTCTGGTCACAACAAGCCGGGAAGGTTTCTCAGCTCCTCTGAACAGCTGCGCTGAAGAAGAGAGTGCCGGGCGCTGGGACAAAGGCAGCGGCCCTTCTGGAGCAGGCAGGGAGGACCGGGGCCTCGGGGTGACCTTCCTGCGACACGCTGGACCCCAAAGCAAGATCTACCGGGGTAGCCTGGCTCCTAGGCTGAACTCCTTGGAGCCCAGCCTGCAGGGGAGGACGGTGGCCTCCCCTGGCTGCCCAGCCTGCCCGCCTAGCCCTGGGGCCCCACAGGCCCTGAGGGGCCCCACAGCCGAGGGACCCAGCTGCCTTGCTGCAGCCCAAAGAGGGCCAGGCCGGAGGGGCCAAGAGCCGCCTTTTCCTCAGGCCAGAGGAAGGGCCCTCCGCATGGACGCCACGGCCAGAGAGGCCCAGTGGGGGGGCTTCCAGGCTCTGCCCCTGAGGGCCAAAGGGCACCGCGGGGCCCAGACCCAGAAGAGAGGCAGGCAGGCAGAGTGGGGGGGGGGGGGGGGTCTCCAGGGCACAGGGAGCCCTCCAGCCTGGAACTCAGCAGGCCCACCTGGAGTTGCCTCCTCCTGTCCTCCTGGCCCCGGGAGCTGCCCCCCCTTTCATCGGTTCACTCATTGGTTAAACGTATTTCCACCCCCCTGCAGTCCAAGAACACGCCTGGCGGCTTGCACAGGGCAGGAAACATGGCCAAAACACCCGCGATCAATCAATAAATAAAAGCAACTCTAAGGGCCGTAAGAATAGAAACTGTCGAATAGGCAACTTAGAGCACGCATCGAATGCGGCAGAGCGAAGGCGGCCACCTTTGACACTCCGGCTTCTCCAGTCGCTGCTGAGCCAGGTGGAGAAGGTGGGGGAGGGGGGAATGCGGGTGGGGGGCCCGGCCCTCCTGTGGCCCCCAGGCCCCTCCAGCAAAGGCCTGCAGGACCTGGGCTGGCCTGGCTGCCTTCCCAGCAGCCACAGCCGGGAAGAATCTCAACCGCCTCAAAGCCCCCCCTCCCCCCCCTTCTGGGTGGGCGGAAGGGTTTAAATTAAGTAAGATGCGGAGGAGGAAAAGGGGAGAGCAGCCTTGGCTAGAACGGGCGCTGCCTGGAGTCCCTGCAAGAGGAAGGGAGGGAAAGGAGGAAGGGACGCCCCAGGCAGAGACCATCCCCGCTGCAGGGTCCCTGGGCTGGGGGAGGCCTGGAGCCGCCGTGGGGGCTCCTCCACCGGCAGCTCAGAGCGCTGCCTGGGGCTGGGGGAGCCAGGGACCGAGCAGCGCACAGAAGCCCCTGGGGGCAGCCAGTGTGTAGATGCAACCTGGTGCAGGGGGGCTCCAGGGCCAGACGGGGGCCGGGCAACACCCTCCTGCACCTGGGCTGGGAGGAGACTGAAGCCAAAGTGGTCCCATCATTAGCGAATTGCCTCCAACTTATGACCTAGAGAATTGGGAGCTTGCAAGTGTGGGGGGGGGGGAGGGGGAGGGCTGGAGGCTGTCTCGGGGTGCCCTCCTCCCTCCCTCTCAAGACAAGACGAGGCACAAGCCCCCCCCACACACCTGGGCCTGGCACGGCCCCCCTTCAGCAAGGACCAATTGCCTGGCGCCGCCTGGCCATAACCACTTCAGCCCGGTGCCCCTGCGGCAGCTGACCCACCGCAGGTGTTCATGCTCGGCTGGCCCCCCACCACTGGCCCTCCCTCCCCCGCCCTGGTGGGAGTGGCGTCCCCCCTGCTCAGCCTGGTCCGGAAGGGTGCCAAGCCAAGGGGACGGTCGAGGAAGAGACGGCGTAGCCTGCAGCTGGAGGGTTGGGAGGCCCCGAAAGCCCCCCCGCCCCCCCCAAGTTCCGGAGTGGTGGGGGAGACAAACTTTCAGGCTCGCAAGACGGATGTCAGATGAGGGGATTCTGCCTTAGTTCCCCTGAACCGAATCCCGTCAATGTACAAGTCTAACTATCCTCCCGTCTCCGTCTCCAGCCCAAGAAGGGTCTCCACTGGGCCTGTGGCCCCGCCCACGAGGCACCTGCGGGCCTCTCTGCCTCTTCCCTGACCTCCCCTGGCCGCTCCTCTTTCCCCGGGCCCCGCCCGCAGGCCCTCCAGGAGCCTCTGGGAAGCAGGGCAGGCGGCGGAGGGGCACTGCCCAGGGCCGCTATGCACACGGGCGCCTCCCAAGTGGGCCCCCCCTCTCCTGCACTGGGGTGAGGGTGTCGCTGCCCTTTTGCTGGCCACGGCGCCCCGTGCAGCCCGGGTCCTCTTGGGCCTGCCTGGACGTGCAGGAGAAGAGAAACCAGGTCAAAGTCAAAGAGGAAAGATCCAAACAGCTCTCGTTATCATATATTACAAAAAAATGAGTGTGCCAGATTTTATGGCTCCTTTTACAGCATTAATGATCACGACGGCTCCGCCAGTTAAGCTGCCGATCCGGGCAATTAAACTGTGAGCTCCAGGCCCAGGAAGGCTCGGCCCAGTGCATGCCGGGAGACGCTCTCGGCACCGGAACAGAGGGAGGGGACTGGGGGCCCAGGAGGGCCCGGCTCACTCAGGCACAGCCCCCCACTTGGCTGCTGGGCCAGGAAAGGGGAGGCTCCCCCCACACACACACGCACCCCCCGAGTGGGAGCCTGCAGGCAGGACCAGCCGGCCAGGAGTAGCAGCCCTCCCGCCTCACCTTGAGAAGGGGGGGCAGGAAGGGCGGGGTCTCCAACCGGCTAGTGCCCCCCACACTCTCCCCTTGGCCTCCCATCCCTGGAGCAGTCAGCAAAATGGTCCCAGGGCTCTGCAGCTGCACCCACAGGCTTCCCACCGCCCGGGCATGGAAGGCCCACGCCTGGGGGAGGCCTTGGGAGGGGAAGGGCCATCCCAGAGCCTCGGCCCATTCAGGGGCGGGGAGAGTCCTGCTTCTCAGGACAGGCTGGGGAGAAGCTGGCCAAGCCCGTCGTCCAGCCCTCCTGCCTTCGCTGCTGGCTTGTCTCTCAACCGCCCCTGTCCCCCCCGCCCCCAGTCTCTGCGTCCAAAGCAGCCTTTTCCACCTGGGTCCGGCTGGGGGGGGGCTGCCTGCTGGGCCGGGTCTCCCCAAATGGTTCCCAAGGGAAAGCAAGGACAGCCAAAGCCCAGGGGGCCCCACTTCAGGGCCCCTTCGGTGGGGCAGCGGCAGCTGAGAGCTCCCAGGCCTCAGGGGGTCTTTGCCTGGGAGGGAGGAGAAAGGCCCCCCATGGAAAGGGGGAGAGCCCAGGCCCAGAGGGGAGCCTCCGCTTCCCTTGTCCCCTTCCGGGTGCCAGCTGGCCACAGCTGCCCCACAGGACCCGAGGAAGTCTGGGCCCTTCTGGGCCCCCACCTGGGCTGTTCCCCTTAGGAGACAGAGAACACCCCCCCATTGTCCCCCCCACCTCACCTGACCCGTGTGGCTGCCCCCTCCCTCTGGCCTGGGGCGCCTCCCTCCACCTTCACACCTGGGAGGGGGGCTGCTGCTCCCGAGGGCTGAGGGGGCTGGGACTGGAGGGGGGTCCTGCCCCCCCCCACCCGAGCAGCCCCCTGGCTTGGATCCCGGCTGTTTTGAGGGGGGGCATCAGCTGCTCGGCTTCATCCCAGACAGATTTTTAGAGCCGCTTTATTAGCAGTTATTAAAGGACGGAGCGGCTTCCACTGTTCGCTCATTAAATATTAATAGAGCATTTATAAAGCAATCCTTAATTTAAAGTGTTACCTTTAATCAAAGGCCTGGTGCTAACCAGCCAACTCTGAGAAAGTGGGGGGGGGGGGGGTGCCCGGCCGCCTTCCACACATAGCCCCTGCCCCCCGGGCAAAGAGGTTCGGGGGGGGGGGATCTCGGAACCAGAACCAGCTGCTCCCAAGGGGGCCCGGTTGCAGAGCTGGCCAGGGGTCTGAACCACACACGCACACATCCAGGGTCCTGCCTGCTCTGCCCAGGGTGCCCGGAGCCCTCCCTGCCTGTCCTCCCGGGGGGCCCACGGGGCCACTGGCCCTTACCAGTCTTGCTGTCCACGGTGAAGTGCTGCTCCCCCTCCAGGACGCTGTAGGCCACCCGGGCGCTGGTCCCGTAGCTGGGGTCGTCTGCATCGGAGGCCAGGACCTGCAGCACCGAAGTCCCTGCAGGGAGCCAAGGAAGGCCGGCTGAAGGGCCCACGGGTGCAAGCCCGCCTCCCCCTCCCCTTGAAAGGCGGGGCGAAGGGACGATGGCCCTCCAGTCTGGCCCTTCACAGAGCCTGTGAAAGCAGCGGGCGGGTCAGCCAGTCCCCGAGATCTGACCTCCCGCCCCTTCTGGCCAACGGGGGACAAGACTGGGGCGGAAGAGGTTGGGGTTAGGGCCCCTGGGAGAGCACCCCGGAAGGGAAGTCAGAGGGTAGGACCGGATGAGGAGGACGGGACACACGGCCCATCGCAAGTGCAGAGCCCCCCCCCCCGGAAGAGGGCAGGGTACCCCTGAGAGGGCTCGCCTCGGGCATCCAGGAACCCACTGCTATGCCCAGCGTCGGGCCTGGGCTTCGTGGCAGTGCGCGTGAGAAGGATCCCGGGGTGCCAGGGGGCCACCAGCCAAGCAGGGGATGCGGAGGCCCAAAGGTCCAAGGCAACTGGGGGCTGCACGGGGGATGGTGCCCCCATCGTGCTGCTTGGGTTGGGTGAGACACCCATTTTGGGGCACACAGAGAGGCTGGAGCCGGTTCCCAGGAGAGGTGCCAGCAGGGCGAGGGAAAGCCGCTCTGGGGAGGGCCGGCTTGCCAAGGGGAAGCGCCTGCCCCATTCAGACCTGAGGTGAACCTGCAATGGGGGTGAAATGGGGGGCCCACCTGTGCCTCCTGCTCTGTGGTTTGCCCCCCCCGCCCCCTCCCTGGGAAGCTGCTGGCCAGAGTTGTTAATCCAAGTGTGGTTGGACAGTGGAGTGAACTCCTGGGTGGGGCAGAAGGGCCCCCCGCCTCCTGCTCCATTTGGGGCTCCTCCCGTGCACCCCGGATTCTGCTCCCTGCAAACCCTGGCAATGCTCTGCCAAGGGGAGCGGCAGCAGTCCTAACCGGGGGGCTGGCCCTCCTCCCCACCCTGGTGGACGCTTGGGAAGCCAAGGAAGATGCTCGGGGCGGGGGGGAGTTGATGTAGCTGCCTGGCGGGGGGGGGCGCTGTTGCTAAGCCCCTCCACTCGCAGCCGTGGCCGCATCTCCCGTGGCCGTGGCTTGCTCAGAACCGGCGGCTGGTGCTGAAGGAAGAGGCTGCCCAAGGACGGCGCTGGGAGGGACTCCGCTGCTGCTGCTGCCGTTGCAGTTAGCAAGACCAAGAAAGGCAGGGAGATCGGAGCTGCCCCCCCCCCCCCCCCCCCCCCGGCTCCAGTCCTGCAAGCCCAGCTTGGCGCTTCCTGAGTCCCCCAGAGGCCGCCGGGCACAGCAGCCTCTCCCTTCGCAGGTGCCCCTTCCTTCCGCGCTGGCAAAGCTGCCCTGCCCACCGCCTCCCACCTGGCCCAGCCGCCGCTTCCTGGAGGGCCTGAACCCCTGGGGCCCTTTTCAAAGAAGGAAGCCTCCCCCGAGACCACCTGAATCCCCCACCCCACCCCTCAGAGGCCCGGGGGGGGCAGGAGCTCTGCCGAAAGCACCTGCTTGTGGGGCAGGAGGCTCAGCCCCCGGGGGGCCCGGCAGCCCCTCCTCAAGGAGGAGGCCCAAAATGTGTCTTCATAGAAAACAAGGGGAGCCGGTGGACAAACCCTCCCCGGAAGGCACGGAGCAGGTCGAAGCCGTCCGCCCAGCGCAGCCCCGGCACGGAAGGTGGACCGACGGGCTAATGGCCAGGCGGGAGGCCCTCCTGCTGAACGCCCCGGCTGCCTCTCACCAGCTGCCCTTCCTGCCGTCGGCCACAGAGTCTGGCTGGGGCTCAGCTGGCTCCCCCTCTGGGTTTAGGCAAGAGAAGCCCCGAGCCCGTGTCAGGCCACGCCTGGCCCACCAATGAGAGGCGGGGCGCCTTCCCCAGAGCTGACTCGCAAGTTCCAAGGCGCTCCTGCTTTGCTTCCCATCCGGTCAGAGCTGAGGAAGCTCCTGGGATGAGAAGCAAAACCTCTTCAAAGACAAAAGCAGGAAGTGCAGTGGCCTCTTGGAGAAAAGGCTCCTTTGGGGCCCCCGCCCCCCCCCGCCAAGGGCTGAGCTCCCTGGTGGACCAGCTGCTGGGCAGCTCAGCTTCCCCCTCCGGTTGGGGCCCTCTTGGGAAGAGGCTCAGCCGGTGCACAGGGCAAGACTGAGGCCCAGAGGGCCTGGCCAGCCGACCAACCCTTGGCCCTTGGTTCAAAACCTTCCTGCCTCGGGTGACGCCACCGAGGCTGGTCAGCGGTCTGCTTCAGGCTCGCCAGACGCCCAGGCCCACCCAGGCCGTAGTGGCAGGGTCAGGATGAGCAGTGGGGCTGCCAAAGGCTATGCCGGATCCAGGCCGGGGGCAGAGCGCAGGGTCAGAGCGGGGTGGGCACCCGGTTAGCCCCATCGCCTGAGCAAAAGAAGCAAGAGGAACGGTGCCCAGGGCAGCCACGCCCGCAGCAGCAGAGGCCGGGGGAGGAACGGCTGCTGGGTGGGGGGCCCCAAGGAAAGTCAGCTTCACGCCGACCCTCTCCTCCCAGGGGCCGAAAGAGCAAACTGGGTGGGAGGAGCCCCGAGAGCCCCCTATGGCCAGCCGTGGGTGGGCCAGGAGACCGCTTGGCGGGCAGGCAGGGTCTTCCGCGGCCGGGCACCACCGGGACTCACCGATGGGGGAGAGCTCAGCCACACTCCCAATGTAGGGCCCCCCCGGGAACTGGGGCTCGCTGTCGTTGATGTCCTGCACCTTGATGACAAACTCCGACTCAGGCTCCAGCAGCTGGTTGGTCTGGCGGTCACGCGCCTGAGCCCGCAGCGTGTAGAAGGCTTTCTGCTCGCGATCCAGGCGCTCCATGGCATGAATGTCCCCCGTCAGCTCATCGATCAGGAAGATGGTGCCGGCACCTTCCCCGGAGATGGTGTACTTGATGGAGCCGTCGCCCTCGTCGGAGTCCGAGTGAATCTGGGGGAGACGGCGCAGGTCAGGCGCAGGGGGCTACTGAGCACAGTGCCTGCCCCCTCTGCAGCCTGGGAGAGGACGGGCACCCGCCCACCTCAGCCCTCACCCAGCACCGGCCATCAGGGCTTCCTGGCTGGAAGGGCCACCCAGTGCTTAAAAGAGGGACCCCGGAGAGCCCCCTCCTCTGGCCTCCGTGGCCAGGCACGACGGGCCTCCCTTCCCTTGAAGGCAGAGAGCGAGCCCCTCGCCCTGCCCACCCCCTCTTGGGGAGGCACGCTGGGGCACGCGGGGGGGGGGGGGCTCCTTCCTGGCCTCCAAGGGCAAGTCCAGGCTTCCCATCAACGCCTGCTTGCATTGGTGCTGCAGGAAAAAAACCATTTGGGAGGCTTCACACTGACCCACCCGGTCCTCTCCTCCTGCTGTTCATTAGTTCGGTGGGGAGGGGGCCTGCCGGGCCTCCCCTCCGAGAAGAACCCCCAGGGCTCCCCTCTCGGCCTCCTGCCAAACATGCCTGAGCGGCCATGCGGAGGGAAGAGAAGCTGCTCTGCAGGAACAGCACCCCTGTCGCCCAGCTGGGCTGCTGTGGCCTCTCCAGAGGCTCCCGGGGGACGCCTGAGCAATGCGCAGCACGTGGCCGTCCCCGTGGCCCTGCAGCCAAGTGCACACGGCTGGCTACCTCAGATCACCCCCTTTGGCAGAAGGGGTTTAGGTCCTCCCTTCAGACAAGGGGGAGCCTCAACGCCCCCCCCTTAACCCTGCAAAGCGATCCCCGGGCATCGGACTGTGGGCCCCGGGTCCCCGGGTGGCCTCGGAGGAAGCCCTAACCCAGGCTGTGGCTCCGCCAGGCGGCTGAACCTGCAAGAGACCCCCCGAGAACGGTGGGAAAGTTCCTAAGGCCCCGGAGGCCAGAGGGCTGCCCAGCCTCCCCTGTAACCCAACCCGAGGCGGCCTTTGCCCCCGAGCCCTGGGATTGGGGTCCCACACTCTGGAGCTCCTCCGGGGCATTTCCTGGTCCCCGGCCACCCCGGCTGCCCTTCTCCGACCCGGCTGCCATTTCTGGGAGCCGGCATGGAAGGTTCGTCCTGGCCAGTGCGGAGCAGATCACGGCCTGAGATTTGGCCCCTCAACTTCTGGGATTCCAGCCTAAAAGAGGATGGATTTTTTCTGCCCCAGAAAGCGCCTCTCCTCACTCCCAATCAGCATACGGTCCGTTATGTCTCTTAGCCTCCAACCACGTCTGCATTGGATTCCTGAAGGAAAAACACTGCATGGGTCTCTGTAAAATTCCCCCTTGTGGCGTCCCGTCCATTTCTGTACCTATTTCTTTGCCTAAACGAAACCTTGGGAGGGCTTGAATTTCACCCACCTGTCTACAGATGCGGCCTGGGCCGGCTTCCCTGCACCCAAGTCCTTCACGGAAGGACGAAAACCCTTGTCTGCCCCACTCAAAACCTGGTCGATTTTTTTCGCAGAGGTTTCTGAGCCGGTTTCCACTTCTTAGGCCATCCAGCCCACGTGATTAGTTTGCTTCTCTGAAGGCCATGAAATAGTTTGTTCACACTTAAAGTTAATGGACCTACGTCTACACGGAGGGAAGTAAGCAATGGGGGTGCCACAAGGTCCCTCTTAGGCCCAGGACTCCTAAGTGACCCAGAGGAGGGAAGAGGTGGGGAACTCATCCAATTTGCAAGGGACACTCAGCTGGCAGGAACGGGCAGGGCCTCAGGATCCAAGGCTTCAACGCTGCGCCCGATCCAACAGAATGACCTTCAAAGTGGGGAAAAGCAGGCAGGGAACACCCAAGGTACCAGCAGAGACCACACGAAACCTGGGCCTGGGGACAAAACCCTAGGAAGAACGGTGGCAGGATAGGGGCTTGGTTTAGCGAAAAGAAGGTCTACGGGTGAATGATGGCAGCCTTCCAGGATTTGGGGGGCTGCCCCAGAGAAGAGGGGGGGGGGTCCACCTCTTCCCCAAAGCCCCTGAAGGCAGGACAAGAAGCAACAGATGGAAGCCAATCCAGGAGAGGAGCAACCTGGAACGAAGGAGGAAGTTCCCGACAGCCAGAACAAGTAACCCGTGGAACTGCTTGCCACCGGAAGCTGTGTGGGCTCCTCACTGGGAGTTTTTAAGAAGAGACCGGACATGATATATACATGTTATAGACTCTCCTTCTTGGGCAGGGGGCTGGACTAGAAGACCTCCGAGGTCCCTTCCAGCTCTATTCGGATTGAAGCTGCAGAAATCAAGACACTCTGCACTCGGGGCCTTTCGCCCGTCTGCTCAGGAGGATGTTTGCCTAAAACCAACCAAAGATTTGTCCTGCTGACTTCAGACCACGATGACCCTTCGGCCTCCAAGGCACTGACAGGTCCATCCTCCATGCCAGACGAAGCAGCCTGGCTCCGGCCCCCTGCCCGGCTCTGCCATTCTGCCACTTGATCACAGAGGCCTCCCGGGGCCGGAAGGGACCAGGGAAGCCTGGCTGGTCAGAGATGCCGCCAGCAGAAGACGGGCGAGCCGGAGGAGCGGAGGGATTCCCCGATCCCGTTTCTATCAGTCCCGGCCTTGGATCCTGCCCTTCTCACACACACACACACACACACACACACACACACACACACACCAGCCCCTTCCCTCCTTCCCTCTGCCCGGCTGCGCCCCCTCCTCTCCTCCGAATGGCTCCCAGTGGGCTTTGGGTTGCCCGCTTCCCTCCCGCGTTCCAGGCTGCCGCCCCCGTCCTTCTGCCTGCGGAGCCTCCCCCGGCGGCGTCTCCTGCAGCCGGGCGAAGAGCCAGCGTCCGTTCCGGCTGCCCTCCTTTTTACTCCCAGAGGAGCCTCGCCGAGCTCAGGGCCCGTCCCGAGGGGGCTGCAGCTGCTCACGCTTATTCACGGCAGGCCCAGGGCGGCCCCCCGCTTGGAAAGGACACGTGAGGAGGGGGGGCATCCCGCTTGGTGGCATTCTGCCTCTGTCCCGGGGGGGGGGGCGGTGTCACTTTTGTAGGCATCGCTCCCCCCTCCCCAAGAGCCCCCTTTCCTCTGCTGTGTCTCCCAGGGCAGCCAAGGAAGTCAGAAGGGGAGACCCCGGCCAAGGAGCCGAAGGCCGCAAGGGGGCTGCTGAGAAAGGGTGGGAACCCCCCCCCCAGAGCGGCCTAGGAGTCCAGAGCTGGACCCGACTCGGCCGGCCATGCACAGCCTCTTCGAGAGAGAGAGAGAGACCCCCCAACCCCCCAGGGAGGCGCTTCTGCCTCTCACCGTCCGGGACAGTCAAGCTAACTCCAAGGGGCTGCTGCAACCTGTCTCAATTGTGGCCGGTCCTCGTTTTTGTGGCCACGGAGAGCAGGCCCCGGCCACTATCCCTTTATGGACCCGGACCTGGCTACGGTTTCCCCTAGCAGGTCCCATCCGCAAGACCCTGGCGCCCCTGATGGGCTCTTGTGAATGTGGCCTAAGCCAGCCACACCCTTCGGGAAAGGGGAGCCTCTCCTAGTCCTAGTCAGGCCCATCCTGATTAGGGTCTGGGGTGTCCCTCCTTCCCAAGACCCCCCACCCCCGGTCAGTGCTGGCTGGCTGGCTGCTTCCTCCTTCCTCCCCCCAGGCTGTGCCTCTCGGGGTGGGCAGAGGGCCCAGGAGCCGGACCAAGGACTCTGGAGTTCCTCCAGGCCTGGCGTTTCTGCACTGGGGAGGCCGGGGCGGGGGGGGGTGTCAGAGGGCGGAGCTCAGTTGGCACCCAGCACCAGGGACCTTGGCCCAGGGGCTGCCCCAAGCGTCCTCCTGCCCCAGATTGCAGCTCCTAGGGTCTCCTTGTCATCGTCCTCCCCCCTCTCTCTCACACACACACACTGTGTGTGTGTGAGAGAGAGAGAGAAAGGGAGAGGCAGAGAGAGAGAAAAGAGAGGGAGAGGTTAACTCTCTTTGACCTCCTGAACCAACTGGGAGGCGATGGGCACCTTGCAGGGGGCCTTAACTGGGAGGCTCCCGTGGGACCTGCGTCTGGAAAGGCTTCGCCCTCATTTCCTGCCCGCCGTTTTTGCTGGGACTCAGTTGCCCAAACGGGGAGCCTCCCATTCACTGGCTGGGGGAATATGAGGCCGTTTATGGGCCCTCCGCCTTCTTCTCAAGAGCCATTCCGGGGCCTGAAGCGGCTGCAGCAGCAGCCAGGACTTATGGCCAGTGGCCCTTTTCATGATCCCCTGGCTCCATTCGTCTCCCTGGGGACAGTTCACGCTTCTCTCTACTTTGGTGGGGAGGGGAAAGAAGCCCCCCTGGAGCGGGGCGAGGGCTGCCTTAGCCCAAATGCCCACCCAGCCCTTGCACAAAGAGCTGGTGCTGCCCAGCTGGTCAAATAGGACCTCACGCTGCTAGAATCTGAAGAGGAAGCTCAGCCCGACACACACACACACACACACACACACACCACCCCCACTCCTGCCTTCCCAGCAATGTGGGTGGCAGCTTCTTCCTGCAGAGCCACGAGGAATGAAGGCCACCGAGGCTTTGAATGGATTCAGGTCTCCTACACCAGATATGGGTATATCACACACTCACACACACACACACACACACACACACACACCCTCCCCGAGTGTTGTGGGAATTGGTTGGAGCAGTGGACTGGACGCTGCACAGAGAAGTGCGGGAGGCGGGAGAAGGAAGGGAGAGCCTTGGCCAGAGGTCTGTGGGGTGGCCGGAGGTGGGCAAATGCCTCCCCCAGTCCCCTCCCCGACCTCTCGAGCGCCCTTCCTCCACAAGAAAGGGCCCAAGGGACCAAGCTCATTCCTCCCTCCTGAGCCTCCTGTGGAAGACGGGGGCGGGGGGAGGATTAGGGGGCTACTTTGAGGGGTGGCAACATCTTAGCTCTCCGAGTCATAAGAAACAAATGCACCGCTTTGCTCCTCCTAGACTTCATTTGTCCAATTCTGGCTTTGCGCCTGAGGGAGGGCCCCAGAATCCACCAGCAGGGAAGATGGCCGGGGAAGGGCGGAAGGAAGGGCGAGGGCTTTT